CAGCATATTGTTGGATCTTGCTTCTTGACCTGTTTGGTTCCTTTTGATTGGTGAATTATGACCACTAACATTGATGGTTACAACTGATATATATTGACTTATCTTGTCATGACATTTTCTTTTTGTTGGATTTTCCCCTTTTGCATTTAACTTCTTGTCATGCCTGATGGATTCATTCTGCTGGGCTTCATGGGGTTGTGATCCTCATTGCGTTTTCCTAGGATATTGTTTAAATTTTTTTTGGAGTGCTGGTTTGGTATGCGTGAAGTTCCTAAAGTGCTCTTTGTCATGAAAGTATCTTATTTCTGCATCATTTTCGAAAGATAGTTTTGCAGGATACATCAATCTGGATGGGAGACTGTTTTCCTTTAGGGTTTGAAATATATCACTCCAAGCTCTTCTTGCCTTGCGGGTTTGTGTTGAGAAGTCTGCTATGATTCTGATGGGATTTCCTTTATATGTGATTTGTTTCTTTTCTCCAACTGATTGTAGAATTTTGTTCTTTTGTTGGATTTCTGGAATCTTAACATATGCCTATGTGTAGCTTTTTTTTAATCATGGCTAGTTGGAATCCTATATGCCTCACTTATCTGTATTTCAAGTTGTTTTCCTCCACTTGGGAAGTTTTCTGCCATTACTTCTGTGAACAGTTTTTTTTTTTAATGTGTCTGCACTGTCTCCTGTTTCTTCATTGACTACAATCAGTCCTATGTTATTTATTCTTCTTTGAATCATCTAGCAGCTGCTGGATTGATATCTCGCAGTCCCTTACTATTTTTAAGAAATTTTTCTTTTCCTGGTCACTAATTGCAGTCCTATCTTTATATCTGGAATTCTGTCCTCGCATTTGCTCCTTCTGCTGCATAAACTTTCAATGGAGTTTTTACTCCTGGAAATCTGTTTGCCTCTGTTCTGTGGATTCCATTTGTTTCCTGTGTTGGGAATCCATCACGTTCCTCAGCTCCTCTACTTTTTATCTGTGTCTGCTCTAGATTTATCAGTCAGGTCTTGCACTATGAGTACAATCTCTGCTGTTATCTGAGAAATTATTTCTGATTTCATTTTTTCCAGATTTCCTTTTGTTGCCAGTTCAGGGAGTCCAGGTGGTTGAGTATCAGAGTGTTCCATCTCGTTGCCCCTTGAGTTTGCCTTGGGTGATCTGAAAGTGTGGTTTGGGGACTTGTTTCCATGTCTTCTCATTTTAACAGATGCAGCCTGCTGTGACTTTCTTGAGGCAGCTTTTTGCCCACCCAGAGGCTTTCAATTCTCAGCAAGCCACCGAGTGGCCTTTTCTCTGCTGTGCACCTCTGCACCAATTCCTAGCTTCAGAACGGCGGCCTTCTGGATCCCTGCGCTCACCCGTTGTCTGGGCAGACTTCTTACTGGGGCCTGTGCACACTTGGGATGGTATCTAGGTGTGCCTCTTGCTGGGGCCCCTGTATACCTATTGTCTGGGAGGGCCTTTGGCTGGGGGCTGTGTGCCCCGTTTCCTGTTGTCTGAGCAGGCTTCTGTCTCGTGTGTCTACCCACTTATCAGTGGTATCAGGGCAAGCCTCTGGCTGTTGCTTATGCACCTGTGCAGCTCTTTTCTGGGCAGGCCTTTGGCTTGGGTGGGTGTGTCTGAACCTCTGGGGACAGGGCAGAGCCCTGGGATCTGCCTGTTGGGATCTGGATGCAGCTATGCCACTCTGGTCCACACTGCTGCTCCCCAGGAATTTATTTTTGTTTTTTGGTTTTTTTGGTACCAGGGAATGAACTCGGGTTCTTGCACTTGCAAGGCAGGTGACAGAACCACTGAGCTAAACTCCCAGCCCCCCAGGAATTTAAATAACTTTTTTGAAGTGAAAATATTATAAATTTAGGAAACAGAATAGTGATTAAAGAGGCTTCATAGATGGCAAAAGAAGGAACAAAGGGGGGTAAAACTATAAGGGCACAATGCACATTTTCCTATGAAAACAGATGTGTTCTGTATCTTGGGTATTTCCATTGAAATATCTGAATTCTCACATTGTGCCATGTGTTTGTGAGACATTACCCTTGGGAGACACTAGAATTCAGCATGGACTCGCTGTAATTTTTCACATGACTCCTTGGGGATTCACCATTATGTATCTCAAAGTAAAAATTTAATTAAAAAGAACAGAGTTGAGCACAGTGGCACACACCTGTCATCCCAGCATTCAAAAAGCTGAGGCAGGAGGATCACCACGAGTTCAAGACCAGGATGGGCTACGTACTTAGTTCAAGGCCAGCCTGGACTGCATAGCAAGACTTAGTCTCCAAAAAAAAAGTAATTAATTAATTAATTTTAAAATTTAAAAAAAGAACAGTCACTGGAACACATGTAAGCAACTTGTTTTGGAGGGGATTCCAGGAATTACAAAAGAGGAACTACTAAAGGAAGGGTGAAAAGTTGATAAGGGATGTGAAAATCTACTGTGGGCGAGTGGAACTTAATCCTACCAAGGACTTTTAAAGAAACAAAACAATCCCCAAACTCTTCTGGCCTGTGTCCCATGGAGAGTAAAAAATGCTCTCTTTCATAGTCATTTTTAAACGTCGTTTTAGGGCTGGGAATGTAGCTCAGTAGTTCCATGCCTGCCTCACAAGCACAAGGTCCTGAGTTCAATCCCTGGTACCAGAAAAAAAAAGTCACCTGCATAGATAGAAACCCCTCTGGAGCAGGTTACCTGGACACTTCCAGTACCTCCTACACCAGTCAGCCACCGAGAGGATCCAGGGTTGGAATGCTGTGGCTCAGTATATTATAACATGGACCCATCCACACCTCTGCTCTGGGCTTTAGATCTTAGAGGCAACAAAAACACCTGCAGGAGAAAACAAATAGAGTTTAAGGATGGGAGATGTGTCAGAAGATTTTTAAATGTTCAATACTATGTCAAGCCTGAGGAAACTTTTCTGTAAAGGGCCAGCCAGTTAATATCTTTAGCTTTGCAGACCATATGACTTCTGCCTTCACTACCCAGTGCCGTGGATGCCTCCGTAGGCCTTATATAAAAGAATGAGTACATCTGTGTGCCAATAAAACTTTACTTAGAGACATAGAAATGGAAAATTCTTACAGCCTTAATGTGCTATGAAATACTATTCTTTGTTTTATTTTTGAATGTAAAACCATTCTTAGTGCAAAACCATTCCAAAAATAAGCCCACTGTTTGCCTGTTTCTGCCCTGTCAGAATAAGGAAATACACGTTTGTGTAATTATGCTTATGCTTGAGTGATTTTTTTTTGCCTTAGAAAAATGACACAGTCATATGATTTACCAGTATTATGCCTGAATCATTAAATATAACCTTTTCAACATGATTCTTTATTAGAACTTGTTTGTAATACATAGTGATCATATTCATCATAGGGGATTTGCACATGTACATAACACACTTAATTCCTTTTTTGTCCCCTTTTTATCCCCTCCCTGCAACCCTTTTTCTTCTCTCCATTTACGAAAGCTCGATTTACATTTTTTCCTTCAATTCTATTTTTTCTTTAAATCCCTTTTTCCCTTGCTTCCTCACCTCCTCTTCCCCGTCCCATCTCTTTGCTGTCCTTCCTATTTAAACATGTTCTCCCTGCTTCCTAATATCCGTCCTCCATTTTGCTCCTTATTTATCCTTTGGGTTTCTCACAGAAGAGGAGCAATGCCATACTTAAACTTGTGTGTCTGATTTATTTCCCCTAAGATTACGATCTCAAGGGGCATCCACTTACCTAAAAATGCCTCGTTTATCCTTCTTTGTGGCAGAGCAGTGCTTCATTGTATGAATATAACGGAGGACGTAGGAGGAGTGAGACTCGTCTTTCGTGTTGTTCCAGTGGCTTTTCTTTGCAGTGTTGAGGCTTGAACCCTAGGCCTCACACACAGTAGGCAGATGTGCTGCCACTGAGCTATATTCCCAGCCCATGTCCTGTTCTTTGAGAATCTAAATAGATTGTGGACATGACATAATTCAAAATTATGCAGATCTTACATGCCATAAATTCTATCATTTGAGAGCTGATGCTAACCCTGAAAAGAAAATGCATCCATATTTTACTAAAGGATTCTGACACAGTCAACTTGCAAGGAAAAGGGCAAAAGTTTTTATCAGGTGATTGGCCATCCCAAGCCTGTCAGCCTTGAGGCAGTATACAACCTGAGAGGAAGGAGCTGAGAAAGTCTTCTGCATCTCTGAGTTCGCAGCCTTTATATGAAGCTCCCTTCCAACACAGTGGAAGCAGAAACAGATCATCTTCAAACATCCTTACTCATTTGGACTTTTTACTCAGCAATCAGCCTCCTGGGGTCTCTGTGTCTGTGCTGTTCAAAGAAAATCAGTCTCTAAGGTCTGACCCTTCCCTGTCCAGAACCATGGTCATAGATCATGCATGGCTACTAAGCAACAAAAATGTGACAAGTCTGGCTGAAGATGTGCTATATGTTCAAAATGTGAATCAGGGCACAAAAACTCAATACACAATAGGAAAAATGTAAACAATTTACAAATCATTTTTAAATTAATATTTATTGATAACATAAGCTTACAAATTGCAGTGTAAACATCTTGACTCTTATGTAATATATTATTGAAGTTAAATTCACCTCTGCTTTTTCAAAATATGGTTACTAAAAAATTTAAAAGGATCTATACTGTTAACATTATGTTTCTACTGGACTGAAAGTCTGGACTGACTGATGGAGAGAAAAGTGAGTATAGAAGACAGATAGAAAAATTGGCCTTTTGGTGTTAGTTTTAGAGGAAAAAGTTGAATTAGGTGCAGAGTTTTGAGAAATTGGAACACGCAAATACAATCAGATTCACTTGCTGAGCTTCGTATATGACACCCACAGTTAAGCTTGTCTTTGTAGCACCTCCGTGGAAGCTAGCATGTACATCTAGGCAGGAGTCTTTGTCTTTGTAGGAGTCAGGATCTAAACTCTGTCCAAGCAGATTCCCCACGCAGACTCCAGAATTATTTCCTCTCCTTTCTATTCCAGCTCTCAGCGTCTTGCTGGCTATGTCAGGATCAGAAGCAGAAAATTCTGGAGGTGAGTCTACCCGTGGCCAAAGGCCAGGGGAAAGGAAATGGGGATTTGGACTATTTCTTCAAGGGAGGAGAGGGGCCCTTTGAAAGTGTGAGAGAACTGAGACCTGCGTACGTAGGTTCTGCCTGTATTTCGGTTTCCAAGGGCTGTTTCCCGTCTCCACCACCATAATCACCGAGTTTGTATTGGTCAGCTTTCCACTGATGGGACGATTACCCGATACATGTATTTTAGTGAGAAATTAGTTACTTTGGCTCATGGTTTCGGAAGTTTCAGTCCATTGTCAGCTGGCTCCAAGGGAGAAACATGGCAGAAAGGCAAGCTAGAAGACAGCTGCTCAACTCCTGGCATCTTGGAAACAGAAAGCAGAAGAACAAGAAAGGAAAGGGCTAGGAACCAGACATAGTTCTTAAGGTCACACTCCCATGACTCGCTTCTTGTACTCTGGCCCCACTGCCAATAACTCATTCCACTGTGAACTCCTCAACGGATCAGCCCATTGATGATATTAGTGCCCTCTGTGGTCCAGTCACCTCTCCTGAAATCTTTAAATAGAGATAAGTTGACAGTCAAAATTAACTAATTCAGTCCACCACCTCTTGTCAACTTGAAACGCCTTAAATCATACTTAATATCCATAAAGCACAATAACAAGATCATAATTCCTTCCAACATAACTGTTCTACATATAATCAAAACAAACTAACTACTTTCCCCAAATCTCAGCAAGCCCAGCAATGCTCAAATGTCCAAGTCCAGATTCTCCTTAGAAATGCAAGGGTATCCTGAGTTGTAACTCCCTGTTAGAGAAATTAAAAAACAAGTTAATAACCCCAAGATACAATGGCACAGGGTAAGCATTCCCATTCCAAAAGGAGGGAGGATAGAGGGATAGAAAAGACCCGGGCCAAAATCCAGCAGAACAAACTTTAAGTCCTACAGCATCATGCCCAGCACTGAAGCCACATGCTGTCACGATGTGAACTCTGACAGGCTTGCACAGCCCCATCCCTTTGTCCGTGCCCGTGTGGCCTCTCTCCTGGGTTGGCTATGCTTACTTCATGCAGTTTTCCTCAGCAGACGTTCCACATTCCCAACATCTTGGTGTCTCCACTGAATCTTTGGCTTCATATATTTCTCTCAGAGAGGCTCCTGACTCTGCCATGTACTGCCCTACCTTCCAATATTCCATTGAAATTTTGGTGGAAGCCTCCAAGAACCTGAACTTCTGCATTCAGCATGCCTGCAACACGAGCATCATGTAGACAACACTAAAGTCTGATACCAGCTCGATCTGTAGCCACCTTCCCTTAGTTACACCTGCAGTGACCGCTGAGTGCCTGGGTGGCTAAGCATGGTGAAATGAATCCCAACAAATCTCTGTGTGGCTCTTCTCAAGTAGCAGGCCCAGCTGGTTTCACCACAAATTAAAAGTTAATGCTTTTGTATCCTTGAATATTCATGGATGGGGTCTTGGTGATTCCTGAAATGCCCTCAAGACATCTTTCCTATTGTCCTGGTGCAACATACTTGGTTTACTTTTAGTGGTGCAAATCTATTCAGCACCCACACATCCTTTGGCCCTAATTTTTCATGTGCTTTTCTTGTATCTTTTGAAAATATACATTTAAAAATTTTTTGGCTATGCTTTTTCTCCCAAATTCCCCGTATAAATTATTAGAATAAAACAGCCATCAGTACTCTGTGCCACAGTCTGAACACTGGGCTGCCTTGAAATCTTCTCCATCAAATCAATTAATTTGTCACCTTTAAACTCAGGCTTAAAGTTTAGTGTATGGATAAATTGTACTCAAATTCTTTGCCAGGATGTAGCATGTAGACTTAGTTGAACTCCTGATAGAGTCCTCAATGCCATCTGTAGCCTTAGGAGCACAGCCCTCTCTTAGTCTTGACCAGAATTGCACATCGATCTGTCTACCACATTCTAAGGCTTCTGTGATCCACATGTCCAAACATTTTACCCTCCAACAAACTAGTTCAAAAGACTTTGAATCACATGGTCAGATACAGTCACAGCAAATAGCCAATTTTCAATGTTGGTCTTCTCTGAGGCAGAAATATCGTGACAGAAGATCAAGGAGAAAAGTTTCTCAAATCATAGTATTGGAAAAGGGAGAGCAGGGGAAGAGTCAAGGAGGCAGGGACCAGGGACCAGCTGTAATCCACAAGGTTGAATTTCCGTGATCCATTTCCTCCTACTAAGTCACTCCTCTTAATATCCCATCCAGTTATGAATTAATCAGTGGGTCAAGTCGTTGAAGGTTCAGTATCTACAAAATCCAGTAATCTGTCCAGGAGTCTCTTTATCCAGCCACGTTCATGATCAAGTTTAACTGGTACGAAGTTTAGCTGAGAAAATTCCATATGGCTTTGTACTTAACTATCATGATCTCCCTACAAATAAGTTATTTACGTAATCCTCACTTGACTAATGGTTCTCTATAGAAAGATCTCATTTAGGGCCATATAGGAGACCCTGAGTTTGATTTCCAGTACCCCCAAAAGAAATCACATAGTTGACGGATGCTGGATTCTGCTCTTGCTTTCCTCAAAGTATGTGTCCTACATCATTCTGAGAAATAATTTGCTGTAGCCTCAGACTTAAGTTTCGAATCCCAGAAACAGAGTCTGAAAGCAAGTCGTTTATCTTTATAAGTGATCCCAGAAAGTACCAGCTGGGAGTGGAAAGTAAATTTGGAGAGCCAGGAAAGATATAGAGTCCATTATCAAGCAAGTCACACAGAAGCAAATGAAGCATGACCTCTTCAGAGAACCACTGGATGTACTAGGGAACACGAGCCTCAGAGTTACTCCCCACACTGGGTAAAGAGGCAGTTTTACATTTTTACTTGTATATAATTTACCTTTTTAACCACTGTCAGGTGTGCAGATCATTGGCATTTACACTTCTGTGCATTCATCATTATTAACAATATCCAAACGTTTTCTTCCCCAGATGAATTTTTCTATGCACAACCCACTCTCTTTTCCTATCCTAACCCTCTTATACCTACCATTCTCCTTTTTGTCCCCATGAATTTGAGTTCCCTAGGGACCTTCTCTGAGTGGAATCATGCAGAATTTGTCCTTTTATCACTACTTTATTTCACGAAGCACCATGTCTGTGTTTTTTGCATGTGTTGGAATTTCGTTCCTTTTAAAGGCTGAATAATCTGGTTATGGTGGTGCACGCCTGTAATCCCAGCTCTCTGGGAGGCTGAAGCAGGAGGGTCGCAAGTTTGAGCCCAGCCTGAGCAACTCAGTGGCTTAACAAGACCCTGCCTCAAAATTTAAAAAAAAAAATTAAGGGATGAGGATGCAGTTCAGTGATCGTTTTTTGCTTATCTGTCCATCAACCAACGGACTACTCTGAATTCTGGTGCTATGCATATGGATATAAAAGTCGCCTTGACAGCCTGATTCTAGTTATCTTTGGCCGTATATCAAGAAGTTGAGCTGCTAGGTCATATGGGAATTGTGAGTTTTACTCCTTTGAGGAGTGGCTGCACCGTGCCATGGAGGCTGCACCATTTTACTTTCCTACCTGAGGAAATGTTCCGATTCCTTCATCTCCCCAAAGCCATTTGTTATTTTTAAGTCATAATGAAGCTGGGTGTTTTTGTAGACTGACTCTTGTCGGTCACTGCTGCTCCTTGGAGAGCACACACCATTAAACTGCTAATTTTCCATGCGATGAGCACAGAGGATTTGGTGGCTTTCCCTGGGGGAAAGAAACACAGGTACTGGTAGCAGAGAGTTTGATTCCTGAGCAAACTCTCACTAGTGGCAGAACTGGGGATGTAGGTGGGCATTGTGAGCGCCTATATTAATTCAGCAGCGGGATGGGTGCAAAGGGAAAAAAAGAGTCCCAGGAGGAATCGTCTCACCACGATGTGAGACCCATGTTAGATGCTCAGGAACTATTCCTTGGATGAATGAATGAGCCAATGACCAAATGGATTCTTTATGTCCCTGCAGCTCCCTGTCCTGCATGCCCTGCGAATGCCATCTGCTACAATCACACCCACTGTGTTTGCATGAATGGATTCCAGTCTCCTTCCGGGAGGGATTACCTCACTGGGACCAAAGACAGATGCGAAGGTAAAGATACTGAGGTTTTACCTCAGTCACTCACGGGTGACAGATGTGCTGGTCCGTATGTCCTCTCCCCCAACACAAACCCACAGTCCGTATAAATCCCACAGTTTGTCATACGACACATCAACAAGGAACAGTCAGTTGTACTGTCTGTCCCAGAGCCTTGGAGATAGCAAAAGCGAGGGTGAGTTGTTGACCCAGGACAACTCCTATCTTAGGTCTCTGTGGGATTTTTGAATCTCCACTCTGATTTACCCACCGGGATGATGGAGGAGAGGGACACGTGCGTACAAGCACCACGTGAGCTAAAATTTAATAGTGTGGTCCTCCTACCTACCTTGCAGTCTTCCCTATCAGCCTGTTCACTAGCCGTCACATTATTCCCTTGTTTCTGACTGTGTATATTAATTTGATTTAACTCAGCGTGAGCTTCAGCATTTAAAAATCAACTGTATGGGCCGGGGACTGAGTTCAGTGGATTTATTCCTGAACTTTTAGCCTGTTTCACTTGCCTATTTTTTTCCCCCGTTACTACAACTCGAACCAGCTTGTTTTTATTTACTAATTCACCAGCACCTCCTGGCTTCACTGTGGCTTGTTAATCCAGTTTAATACGTGGTGGGTGAGGCAGGGCCTCACTCCATGACCTTTCTGTTTATCCTTGGATAGTATGATCAACTCTTTCTCGGCTTATAAGTTACTTGTAGATTTTTTTTCATGGTATTGTATCGGACATATAAGGGAAATGTTGGATAGTAGAGTTTCCGTGGGCAAGAGGAAAATGGTGCATTTCTGTGGGAATAAAAAACAGTATTTTATCTTGATTCTCAGATATCAATGAGTGCAAGACTGGACAAGCAAGGTGTAAGAAGGTATCATATTGTAGGAATAAAATTGGACGTTACATCTGCAGCTGCCTCAACAGTTCTTGGTTTTACTGGTTAGCTGGTATTACTGAAATTGAGCATCCAGAATGTTATGGTAAGAATTTCTCAATACTTTTTCCGCCATGATAAAGGACCAGGAGCAGAGTTTGTCACAGCTCCTGGAATATGAGTCCAAGGAAAGAGAAGAGAGATCTGTCTTCACCCTGGTCCCTGGTTCCGTCCTGGTGCTGGGTGGTCTTTTCCTAAGAGTTGTCACCAAGGCATCAGTAATCACCTCTGTCTGTGTGCTTTCCAAATTTATGTCGCCAATCTGGGTCACTTTCCCGGGCTTCCAAAGTACAACTTTAACTTCTTCTAAACTTCTCTATTCCTTTAGCTCTCATTGATCTTACGTTGAATTTCGATGACTGTCAGTTTTTACTCTAAAATTCACGAGTTCATTCTGGTGCCTCTGATTCCAGTCCAATGCAGAGGTTGGATTGAGCCTCTCTTTTTCCTTATCTATAATATCTCTCTCCAACAATAATAAATACACCACTCGGTATCCACAGTATGTGTGTTAGTTGCTTTCTTCATTGCTGGAACAAAATACCCAACACCCACGACTTAAGGAGAAGTTTATTTTGACTCACAACTTGTAGAAATTTCAGTCCACCGGTGGCTGGCTCCAAGGCGTGGCAGGCAGGAAGCAGAAACCAATCAAGAGAGGAGGGAGGAGATAGACCTTTCCACGCCACGCCACGTGTAACCCATTTCCTCTAACCAGGCTTCACTTCCCAACATCAATTTAGCTATAAATCCTTTAAGAGCATCATGTCCCCCATGATCCAAAACCCCCACAGCCCCCTATGAGCACATGAGGCACTGAACCAATATCCAGAGGTAAACCATAATGTGTATATGTGTGTTTAATTTATCTCTTCGCTCCTCATATGATGTTGTGTGCTGTGCTGATCAACTGGTATTTCCTCAACTCACCAGTTGACTTTTGTTTTTGCTGGTACCGGGGATCAAACTCGGGACCTTGTACTTGCGAGGCAGGTGCGGCCCCGCTGAGCTAAATCCCCAGCCCAACCGGTTGACTTTTGGTTAGGGTTCAACTTACCTAAATGTCTCATATATATGTGAGAATATTAATAGAATCTACTCAGTTATATGTCACCGTATGTCAACTTACTCCAACACAAAGTGGCTTAAAGCAGTACAGAAGTGTACTGTTTCATACTTTTTGTGGGTCGGGAGTCTTGGTTTTTTTCTGAATCTCAGTCCCTCACATCCGCAATCAAGGAACTGTTCCGAGAAAATAATTTCATATAAAGCCTCAGTTAGGGACAAGACCTGCTTCTAAATCCACTCACGTGACTGCTGGTAGTATTCCATCTCTTGAAAGCTGTTAGACCTTAGCACTCGGCCATCTCTGGTGGTCTGTAGGAGATAGTGTTCACTTCTTAGAGAGGCTTCTCTAGTTTACTTCATTATAGTGACTGATGCGAATAGCCAGGAAGAGTGTGAGTCAGTCTGTCATCATCAATCCCACTAGTGACATCCTGTCACTTTTCAGTGTTCTGGCCATTAGAAATGAGTCACTCCATCCACAGTCAAGGGGAGGAAGTTACACCAGAGTGGGCGTCAATACGCGGAGACTGTAATCATTTTGTAATAATTCTTGAAAACTGCTTGCTGGGCTAAATACCGTTCCTTCGAAATTCAAGCCTACCTAAGCTTATGAGTGCGACCCTGTGTGAAAATAGGAACTTTGCTGAAATAATCGGGTCCAAATGAGGTCACACTAGATTAGGGAAAGCCCTGAACCCAAACAAACTGGTGTTCTTATAAAATGAGAGAGGGCTGCGGAGTTAGCTCAGTGGTTCTGCTGCCTGCCTCGCAAGCGCAAGGACCTGAGTTCGATCCCCGGCACCTAAATAAATAAATAAATAAATACAATGAGAGAAAAGGTGGACGCAGACACAGAAGGAAAGATGGCCGCATGAAGACGGAGGTAGACGGGCGTTTATTACGCCCCAAAGACTGCTGCTGGCAACCCCCAGAGATAAGGAGAAAGCGGGCCGGATTCTGCCCTCGAGCCTCCAGAGAGGGCACAGTCCTGCTCACACTTTGAATTTTTACCACTAATTTGTTTGGAAAGCCTTCTCTTTTTATTTTATTTTTACTTCTTCTCCTTAGATTTTATTGTATTAGTAAATGTGTGAAGCACATAGCACTTAAATTCCCCATGTGGGGTTGGTGCATGGGCACCACACATCTCAATCCCTCTGTGCGTCCCCTTCCCTTCTCTCTCTCATCCACCCATCTCTCCATCTTTTTGCTTTGTTGTTTTGTTTTTTGTTGTGTTTTCTCTTAATCTCAATGGGTTGGGGATCTGTTGTATGTTCCCCTGTCATCTCGTCCTATTTAATAAGAGCATCAATTAATAAGGGCTTGTAGCCGGCCGTGGTGGCGCACGCCTGTAATCCCAGCACTCGGGAGGCTGAGGCAGGAGGATCGCTGTGAGTTCGAGACCAGCCTGGGCTACACAGTGAGTTCTGGGTCAGTCTCAACTACATAGTGAGACCCTGTCTCAAAAAAACCAAAAAAAAAAGGGGGGGTCCCTGCTCAACAAATACTGTTGACTGAATTATTCAACTGGAAATCACATGCTAATGCTCTTTTTAAATTCTACTGTAGGGTTGAGGGTGTAGCTCAGTGGTAGAGTGCTTACTTAGCACATGCAAGACCTTTGGTTCAATACCTAGCATTACAAAAAAAAGTTCATTGTAGAATATGTTTTGGAGGTCTTAAAGGGAAATTAGGATGGGAGGCAGAAACATCAGGAACAGATCTAACTTGAGGGTGACTGGATGTGTTTTCTCCCATATCTCCTTTAATAGCTAACTTTCTTTCTCAGAGAACCACATAGAGAAGACACCATCAGAAGAGGTTTCAGTGAGTGGGGTAAGGCCTGGGTTTGGGAAATAGTTAGTGAGTCTGGCCACGTCTCCATCCTACTCAAACACTACCATGAAGCCCTATGGTTTTTAAGGTAGAATATGTCTCATCAGAGCACAACCTTGTCCTCTTCCCTATGGGAAAACTGGAAATATCTGGGGGCCCTTCTTGTTATCAAGACCCAGCAAGGATTGCTCCTGGCATCTAGTTGTTAGAAACTATGGATGCAGCTCAACTTCCAGAGAAGTTGAGACCAAGAACAGTCTACCTCAACCAAGAATTTTCTCGTTTCAGAGGTCCATAGACACTGAGAAACTCTGAAATAGCTTTACATTGCCCCGGATGTCATTAAACAACCTGCATCTAGCATCAAAAACTTCATTCCTGACTGGGGATTTAGCTCAGTGGTGCCGCCACCTGCCTGGCAAGCAAAAGGTCCTAAGTTTGATCCCTAGTACAAAAAAAAAAAAAAAAAAAAAAAAAAAAAAAAAAAAAAAAAAAACTTCATTCCTACCCCACCTCATAGTCCATGAATAAATGTTGCTTTCTGGGTTCATTCAGAAATTCACCTATATTCCTGATTTCTTAGGCTTCAATGGGAGTCCTCCTAATTAGTTCTCTATCTTTGCAAGGAACTTCCAGCGCAAAATATTAGCAAAAAGGAAATCGCAAAACGGGCTACCCAACAACTTCATCTTGTGGAGATGGCCATATGGAATCAGAGTTTTGCTTCTCTGGGAAAGGGTAATAATTCTGCATTTGATATAGGTAAGACACACTAAATGGGTTTCTATGACCATCTTAAAGAGACAAGGGGTCTGGTAGAGACAGGGCCTGAATGAAATCTGTCACCTCCCAGAATGACAGAATTGTCCCTCCAACACTTTCCATGATTAGGACGCTTCCTTGAAAACATAAATGGAAAGCATAAATGAATAAACCAGCTCTGCTCATGTTGCTAATTTTTCTTGGTGTGTTACAAACTGTAAAAACATCCATTCCCAAAGAAGGGAGTTTCTTCGATAGATTTCTGAGGTGTGAGAAACAAGTATAGCAGAACTCAATTTTCTTAATGTTTCAGTCTATGAAACCAAGAAATGTCACAAGAAGACCTTTTTGGAAGCTGGAAATAACACAATGGATATCAACTGTGCTGGTGCTTTCAAAGAAGCCGGAAAAGGTACTGGGTCCAAGGGGAACTTTATTGACCCCCCCCAAAGTGTAAGCACTGTCTTATTTCTGTAAGTCACTGTGTCAGTAAGCACAGAGGCACAACAATGTCAAGTTAGAGAGACTACATGTTGAAATGAAAAGGCCTTCCTTGACCCTGTATCAGGCAGTTTGTGGAATAAAACTGGATTCTCTTATGGAGGGTCTACTTCGCAACTTAGGCAGAGGTTAAAACAAGGCGCTATTGACATGCTCCCTTAACATGCATAGGCTAATGCATGTCCTGTTTCCTTGTAATGGCCTGAAAATGTCACATAGCAGCATAGACGATCATTGTCTTAATCGCTCTCTCTTCCGAGATATGTGCTATGCACACCCTATTTACAGTAATCTCAAAACTCCCCTCCATTCTACGGGTTGGCAAACCTCTCTCTCAAGGGACCAGAGAGTTGATATTTTAGATCTGGGGCCCCAATTGCCTGTGTCACGGTAGTTTGGAAGCAGCAGTAGATCGTGTGGAAACGAGGCGTGTGGCTTTATTTGCAGAAACCCATGACAGGCTGGTCTGACTCCTCACGTGGTCGTTTGCCCCCCACACCTGACTCCTTCACCACAGTTTGGTAGAGCACCTGCAATACGTACTGTTTCTCTAACTCGTTCAGTTACTTATGTCCATCTCTCCCAGTACAACGCCGACTCTCTGATGGCAAGGGCTTGGTTCTGTGTACTGCCTATCACAGCGCCTGTGATGTCTGGCATGACACAGTAGGTGCCCAGGAAATACACAGTGACGGAACGCACGCTTGTAAAGGGTTTCAGAGACAGGCACGTGGTTGCCCTGAGACACTGAGAAGCCCGCTGTGTAGACCCCAGAGCATTCCTGACCGCCAGTTAACATTCATTCTTTACT